GAATTAATTTTTGGTAGATGAAGATTTGGGAGACATTGACAAAAATTTACGAGTGCTGGCACCCAGAATGAACTGCCGAACAGTTATTCGCCAAAGACGCTCATAGATAAACTTAAACCAGAAAATGGGTGCAGGCGACCTCGTCGGCTTCAAGCAGATGCGAATCGGCAAAGCACTGGAGGATATAGGTAAACTAATAAGCAAACTACCCTGAATAATCACTGATGACGTATGTGGTTTTGCTCTAATCAAAGAAATGGAGGAATAAGACTTATAGTTTAAATACCCAGGCGCAATCATAACGTCCGATGGCAATTGAAATCAGATTTTGGACAGAGGGAATGTGGCTTCAAAATCCTTTGCGAACTTTTCGAAAACTTGGAATAGAAATGAAACAACACTTTTAAAACGTCAAAGGCGCTTTGTTGATGGGCCTGAACGAGCGACCTTGGTACTCGGCGAATATGAGTTTGCTATGATGGTAGCTGATAAAAATATGCAGCGCTTAAGGAGTTAATACCGAGTGTTGTTTTCAGCTGAATGACGAGTCGACATGAGGGCAACACTCGCAAACATGCAGTGCCGCTTAAGGCACTGCCACGTACTCTTACCAAGGGAATAGCATACCTGATTTTCGTAACAGGACTACAGGCAAAAGTACTGTAGTAGATGAATGCCGAGTGATGCTGCCAATGCAATCTATGAATGGAATATACAGGACAGTTCATCGTCGAGCGTCGAGAAGAGGAAATCCTTCAATTCTATATTTTGGATTCACAACTGATACTTGGCACAACGTACCTAGTGTTGTTCGCTGTTCCTCGCGTGGCGAGCAAATTGTCCTTTTTAACGATAGTGTGTGGATATCTTCATATAGCGACGGTTCTTCGCCTTGTCAGCGTACTGGCGCCTTTGTAACTGCTGCTGCATAGGCATAATCAATGTCTCTCTCTCGATGGTATTCAGCCGATTTTTCCTTGTTGATCAGCCGAATAGAAACGGCCTAAAAACAGAAACTCGACAGACCCGAAGTAAGCTAAGAATTTAAAGTCTGCATCAGAGGATTCACATTCTCGCTACCTCATACCTGAAACGATTAATACTGCGGGTTCGCAATGTTTATTCCTTTGCAGGGAAGCAGCCAGATTTTGCGGACTCGTCAGCTGTGGATATGGGAAAGACGACACAGATGATGAATGGTCGATCATTAGCAGAGCACATTGCTGAAGAGACTGAATGGTTTTCTAAATTGCAGCCTCTGGTCGTGGAGGAATCATTCCTCTATCGATGCAGTAAACACCTCACAACAAGAAATGCACAATATATATGATGACAAAGCAACAGCAGCAACAAACAGCATCAGCTGCCTCAAGGAACAGCAGGTGCTAAAATGCCTAGGATCTCTGGTCTCATCGCTGGTGGGATGAAGTCGTATGCTACTAACTGGCGAAGGGGTTACGTCACATAACAGTTTAATTGAATCATGCTTCTGCTTATGTGAATAGCAGCCTCATTCGATGAACATCGTCATCCTTCCAAAGGATTGTGAAATCCAAAGCTCACCCACTATTGTTATGTTTCAAATCATGCACTCGTTCGTCTTTTTCACGAAGCAATCAAATGCAAAACTCATCGTTAGCAGATCAGCTGAGTCAATTCTTCATGTACCGCTTTTGTCAAAGGTCTGTAAAGCCAGAAAAATTTAACAATCCATGAAATGAGTGAGAGTGAATTCTCCCTAACGTTCCGATACTCATGAAGGGATTGTCTTGAGAAAGCCGGCCTGAAGTCACGACGGTGATCGAGAAAGGGCAGCTTTTTCAGATTTTTCAGAAAAATTTGTCAATTATAAGTCATTCAAACTGGCAACGAATCGAAGTAGAGCCATCCAAACACATGTCTGTGTTTATATTCCAAGACAGGGCGACGATCGTCTTCATCATGCCGTTTGGCACCTGAGCGAAAGATCATTTTTTGAGCCGAATTGCCTTATGTGTCAGAGGTCTCTTGCCGAATGGTACAGCAGTGGCTTTCGAGCTGTGATAGACCTGTATAAAATTTTCTATTTCTACTTCACGTTTTATCCCTTCAAATATGTTTATTCTAATTTGTTGTCGTGGCTGTGCAAAATTTGAGGAAAATGAAATATTTTATTTATTTAAAACATTATACAGTGTCATGGAATGTTATGCTTCACTGAAGTGGTATGGAAGGAAATCGAGCCATGTAACTGCAAAGTTCGGTTTCCCTTACGAATATTGATTTCTGGTTATTTTATGCGTTTTTTAATTTCCACAGTTTCACGTACATGCTTTTAGTTATCTTCCTGTTTTCTTCATATACACATGCGTTGGACTTTCTGTAACGACCATGTGTATTGACCTCGTTGGTGTACACTACATCAGGAAAGTGCATTACTTCGGCAGAAAGCTTAAAGGTGCAGATTTGATGCAGTACCTACGGCGTAAGAAGCTACTCGAAAAGCGAGTAGCATTTGCTCAACAAGCAGCCGAAATTATTGAAATGTACATGAAGGTTGCCGCGGAGTAAGTAACAGAAGAACCTGCTTTTTTGTTCATAAACTGGAGCAATATTTATAGCACTTAAATATAGTGACATCCACAAATATGATAAGCCGTTTAAACCATTCCCTACTGACAGTTTTACAGAACAAGACAATGCAGAAATCCATTTTCACAGCTTAGTTGTCCTTTCAGTTTTGGAATGTCAACGGTGTAAGGATGTTTAATCACTTTTCATCTGTCAGTCACTTACGCTACACGGAACTGATCCAAGAGGAACAATGCCACATTCAATGTGTCTTTTAATTGGTATTAAATTGATGCTTAAGCTACCTGCCGTATGGCTTTGCTAAGAGATTCATTTTCAAGAGTTTCATTTATACCATTGAGAATATTAGTTCGATCCGCTATAAGTTTTCTGCCTAAGTAAGGAGAAGGCAACGAATAAGTTGATGTTTCTTGACTGATATGCTGAAAACTTCATCGAAACTCGTCATAAAAGTGGTCTATCGTGGAAACATTATTTCTTCAACTATTTATGAATTTTCTTCTTTCGTTCAATACTCAGCATTAGAGTAGGTGCTTAGAAGTGCTTAGGAACACATTGTTTCGCACTTTTTCATATTTTCAAACATTTGCTCATCACGACAGATCAATTTAACCCTCGAAATCAGCAGCTCTCAAACATTTTAAAATTTTACTGCAACCACAGACTTTCAGTCTCATGTCGTAGGTTTACCTCCTGGAATCAAATGGCAGATATGATTGCTTTTGCAGCCGGTAGCAACAAACGCCACGGTACGGGATAGCAGGTAAAATTAACGACGGTAATAATAAGAGTAGACACTCACTGGTGATTATGCATGGCATGCGACCAATGAAAAACGGCATAAAACACGCTTATTAATACATAACCCAGAAGTTACAGCTTCTGGCTCCAAACCACCCGGCCGTGCGAACAAGAAAAAACCTCTGAAACTTTGTCAACCTCTTACGTTGAAGAATGCTCGTCAAACACCGAACGAAACTTAACTACTGGTCAGACATCTGATTGACAATATTTTTTGAGTTATTATTAATAAGTTGTGTTTTATGCGGTTTTTCAATATCGCCATCAAAGCCTAAACAAAATTCTCTAGCGATAAATGAAACTAACCATTACACACATAATGGGGCAATAAAATTCAACTTGTTGCATCGTGTAAACAATTTAATCATGACCATTGGCATTTCCGTTACTCGATGGATGTTCAGTGCGCCAACTATAGAACCGTCCAGCGCACCAATAGAGTGCACTCGCTGAGACGATCACCTGGAGTCGCTTGTAAAGGCAAAACGTCTCTGATTCATGGTTTCTCCTATGCTCGTCTGCTTTCCCCTTAATGTTTTTGCAATAAGGCACTGGATACTGTATCGTAGGAGAAAATATTCCTCTCCAGAAAGAGATCTGCCTGAATTTCCTTTCTCCATGTTGTATGCTCACCTTCTGGACAACGTCTACCGCGTTTTCTCTCCCACGCCACGCGAGAAGTTTATGGATTAGAGTAAAGAACTTGTGTTAAATCAGTTTGCCTAATAGAGCCCATCTCCTTTCCTTTACCTCACATCTGCAGAGGTCGTTTCTGCATGGAAGAGAATAAAGTCATTCCATATGATTCTGTCATTCAACCCTCGCTATGCGTCAAAGCGAATGCTTCCATCTGCAGCTCAACAGTCGTTTTTGGCCCTTCGTTCGAACGACTGTCTCCTTTCAATGCACAACACTTACCTGATAGAAGCAAGGCAGAAACGTGTGTTTGTAGAAATCGATACTTGTTTTTCAGCCCATATGTTGAGCAGGTTCCCAAATCATTCAAGGTTACATAGCCATAGCTAAAGTTTGCCATTGCTGGAGATTGTGGAGTTAAGACACTTGAACTGTTCAACCTTCTTAAGCGATTTGCCTCCTTGTTCCACTCGTATACCAGCTTGCTGTATTTCCTGAAAACTTCTGACCTCCACGCGTTGAGGAAGTGGTCGCTCTGTTGCATATGGAAGCTGTCAGGTGACATAACATATCTTCGTACTGTTCACCAGGACAGTGTCAACCACATGCTTCAGGTCAAAAACATGTCCTGCCATATGTTGAACGAGACCATTGTTTTTGCTGTTGGCGGTATTTTCTACGTAAGTCTCGCTGACCCTGCTGCGGTTACCGATGACTGCCAAATGAAGACTCGCAATATCCAAATATAACATTCTTTAATATTTTGAATACCAAGCTGTGAGTATGCTAAAAGCGATATGAATTCAATCAGTGTATCATAGAGAGCATACACACTGATTAAGCCTATAAGATCTGGAATAGAAGCACATTATCGCCTAATTGCACCCTAATAATTGAGTTTCTCATTATTTCAAATGTGATCAAAGTGAAGTTGAACTTTTCTATCATTTTGTCTATTATTAGCATTAACAGTTCTAACCTAAGAAGAAACATTAGTATATTCTATACTTCGTCGATGAGGATGAACAATAGTCATAGCTCTTAAAATTGTTGGAAAACCTGTTTACTATCAAGGTTTTTCTTTAAACAAGAAAAAATCTTAGACAACCAACTTATTGCAAGAAACGTAAAAACTGCCACGTAATTGCCTTGTAATAATTCCTACCGAGAATTGGCCCCCAATAATCAATATCCGTTATTTAAACCTACATATTTTTTAGAATTAAACAGGCTCAAAGCGTTGCTGCAAATCATGCGGAAATACTTCCGCCTGAACCACCGAGTCCGGGGACCATAGACGTTGAGGAAGAACCTGTGCAAGAAGAGCAGTAAGTTAAACGATGCAGTGCTAATAATACTGTTCATTATCTAACCTATATAAGGGAGATTGACAAGGTTCAATCGGCTTCCGAACTCAGCAGTTCAACTTTCAGCGCCAGTACGTGGTCCAGCGAAGAGAAGCGGGAACGGTAAGACGCTTTCTCGAGAAACAGCTGCAAAATGTATAATGTTATATGAGTACCGTGTTCAGTGACTAACTCATGTGAGGAGGAAATTGAACTGAATTTAAATTATTAATCATCGATCCTCGTTAAACTTTTCTTAGTCACTTTTGCGGTCAGTCACTCGCTCCATTTCTTTCGCCGCTTGTCTTATCAGGCCGCAGAAGGCAAACACGTCAAACATTGATGCCAACGTTACCCATACTCTGCTCTGTTTGAGTTTTCAGGATTTCACTGCATTTCAAAATATGTTTGGAATATGGATGTAATAAACTGTTGTGATTTGCGTGAATTCGCTGGAGTAATCCCCTTGACGTTCAAATGAAAGGTAATAGGAAATTCATACAGTTTGTTCCTCAGTAATTTTCTGCATTTTCATTTTCTTTCAGCCTCCATGTGTGAGCTTTATTCATATTTCCTCCGCAAACACTGTTTTCTTCAGAGGAATAATTTTGCTTCTTGCCACAACATTGTTTTGAAGCCAGGGAATCCACTTACCATTAAGTTATGATTTTCTCACATCCTTCGCATGATTCCGTAAATTTCACGAGGAATGGTGTTCATTAAATCTGTCCCAGTGGACTTTTCTTTCCCTTCGCCTAATTATCACGTATGTGCATAATAATGGCTAATTATAATATATATGGATATCGAAAATCTGCGATATTCTAGTGCTTAAACTCTGCTAGCCTTTGATAAAGATGGTACTACAACAGCAGCAATGCTAAATTAATAAGCGACTTCTTACAGACTCTATTTCTCTCGCCGGTTCTCCGTGACGTCTCAAACGCCGTCTGGACCAAGCTGGGCGGCTTCTGTCTCAACTAGCAGTTCTACAGGGGCGCACTCTGCGTTTGTCTTTTCACTGATGGAAATGATCTACCAAAAACGAGAACCTCTAGTCGTATCGTCCATGCGCAACCTGGAATGCGTTCTAAGGTTACACCAAACGCAAGTATCGTTGGTTTTAATTGTTTCGTTGCAGGCCTCCTGTACAAAGACGCCAGTCTTGCCCTGCAACTGCCTTTGCGAACCTGCCTCCCTTCAAAGAACCGGTAAGAGCAAGAATGAGTTATGGCAGTTGCTTACTTTTTCTCTTTAGGCTGTTGAAGTGGTCAAAGAACCCACTCTGTAAGTTTCAAAGATGTCTTTAACCGCTGTTTTGGCAATCACTGAAATTTAAATAAGTTTGCATGTTACTGTGCGGATCTTATTCTGTTCGGTTTGCATGCACAGCATTCTAAATTAAACTCATTCACTTCTATTTACTACATTTAAAGCGACGACGTTAGTGACTTAAACATTTCAAGCAAACTGCAGCAATGTATATGATGTGGTGCAAAGAGAGCAGTAGTAATACAAGATGAACAGGATATAATCCTGATATCCTGGTGGAGTCTTCATGAATGGGAGCTGTCGAGACCGCTGATCAGTATATATCATTAGAAACGATGAATGCAGATACCCGATTACTGGGGCAAAAATGTGGTAAATCAATTTCTTGCTGCATACCGACACTGAGGAAGTATAAGAAACAGTAAAGTCTTATATCTGATTGTGTCGCAATATTGCACCGCCTCTTGTTTTTTAATTTCCTCGGGAACCACCACGGCTCCACGCTATTTAAACGCCTATAGCGCATATGACACGTGATAGTGAGTGTCTCTTAGTTGGGCTGAACAAGGGCTTGTCCAAACCCAAACGCCACTATCCGTAGGCGAATAGATACAAGACAAAATGGAATATAATCTTGATGTTCTGTGGTAGCCTGCACGAGTGTAAGTAGAAATGCTAATTTGTACTTCAAAGGAAATCATGGCATAATTGATATTTGGCGTTTCTGAGAAAATGCTCTGTAACCTTTAAAGTATGAATACTCATTATTATTCTGATTTTGCGTTCGAAATTACTTCATTTAGTTTCAAATACTCAGGTCAGTAACTTGGCCCAGTCCAATTTGTTTAAACATACTGTTAAACAAAGATTTTATTTAACTTTAGGCCTGACGAAGCCGGAACAAGTGTTTCGGAATCAGTCTCATCACTGATGGACATAAACGAATTGTCATCAGATTCCGGTGCCATTGGTGAAATTGATGGTAACCTTATCTCTAGATTGGCACTTGTCGTAAAGTATACGTTTCAGAAGCGCTGGATCCAAAGCAGGCCCTTAAAAACTTGATGCAGTACCCTTACAGAAGTCTTTCCACTGAGCTGCCTCTTGTGGTAACCGAAAATCAGTGCTTTGCATTGAATGGTATAAAAGTCAAGGTAAAGTAACTGCGTATATTCTGATAAGACGCTTTGAGTCTCAGACGGCGATTTCCTCTTCAAACACAGATGACATATGCCTGATATAGACTTGAGAGTGAGTATAGTGAACTTTAAAAGGTCTAATCCTTGTCATATGTAGCCTGAAAAAATGTCCATGGCATGGGAAAGAAAGCCATAGAACTAAAAGGCAGACAATGGATGAAACTGTTGATCCCATTTTCCCGCCCTTATACGATTGTAATAATGCCAAGAATGTTCTTTTTTCTCATCAGTTAAACTCATAGCTGAAAATTGCTTTGTCCTTCTTCCGGTACTGCAGCTATGGTATTATGCAGCAATAACGTTCTCACGCGGTCGCTTTTCCTCCTAATGGCGTGGTCAAAACACCATATTTGTCATTCCATTGCATTAGCGAGCGGTGAAGATTCAATGTTAGTGATTCTACGGCCCACTGATTGCTTTAATTCAATTTCCTATAAGCTTCTTCAGCTGTTTTGAACTTACAAGTGAACTGGCTTCCTGCATCTCTGCATCTATAAGTTATAAAAAATAATACATGCGATTTACTACGAGCTTCTGGGTTGGAGGTTGAGTGAACCATCAGGTCAAACGAAACCCAATCTTCCAGGAAAATTATTGGTTCCACTTGAGGTTTCGAGCATATGAGATAAGCACCCTAATAATGAAACGATCAACCAGCTCTCGGTTGAATTGGAAGCACTCAATGCAAGGCGATACAACCCAGTTAACTTTCGTCATACCTGTTTCCCCTGCTCTTGTTGCTTTTAGAATTTGTAATCGCATTTTTCTCCCGGATGCAGCTAACACAGATAAAGGAGTTGAGTCACGACGTATACAGACGAAATATAATCAAAGAAAATCAAGGGTATATTTATGTAGGCGTATAAGATAAAATGCATCATCCACCACTCCTCGAGATTTCGATATAATGTACAATTTTAAGCAAAATTATTAGACTTGTCCTCTCAGATTTTAGAAATTCAAAGCAAGGAGTTAGCGACTTTACTTTTTTAACTTCTTGAGGTTAAACTTTCAATTTTCTCGAGTTCCGCCAAATCCTAGGTGCACTTTGGCCACGATCTGTTATTCTACGTGGAGAATACAGAAGGCAGAGCAGAAAAAGTTCTGGATTACTAAGGATCTGACCTCCCTTCCTTCAGTCAATTTCTTCTCTTGGTATCTTTTCCATTTAAAGTCGCAGCGAACCATTCCAATTTCCGCTACTATAGTCATGTTAGCTAACTGTTTTCAAGTTCGTGAAAGTCATTACGACTGAGGCAATGGCTTAAAAGTACTTATCTTGAGGTAGTTTGCCAAGCGGTTTGGTAGAACGGTCGTTCTTCATTTATTAGAACTGAAGAACTGAAGACAGATTTATGAGAGGATTTCACACATTTGCTTCTTAATAACGAACTAGAGTGGTTCTGTTACTTCAGTCTTTTATCTTTACCCTCATTTATTGAACTAGTTCCAGACACCATCAAAAACCAATGGCAAGAAGAGCGGCCAATTTCACCATGAGAAACGCTTAAAAGGAAGAAATCAGTATTCGCTTATCGTCATTTGCAACAGACTCTTTAGTGTTTCCGATTACTGAAAATATTCGCTTGTAATTTTAACTTCCCTTCATCTTCATCCTCTACGGTCATTTCTTCTTTCGGGTCGCGGAGGCAGACGCGTCAGACAGTGCTTCCAACGTTCCCGATCCTGTGCCAGAGT